TACATTCAGTGGCAGTTCCGTGTTGATCGCGATCACCATGTAACAATTGTTGCAATCTTAGAAGTAACGGGACATTGTTTAACTTTAAAATGACAATCACACAAACCGTAACACGCGTGATGATCACAGTCGAGTCTTGACAATTAAATGAGGGCGATTTGCAAGGGTATTTTGTACAAAATGTGTTCGTAAATCCTACTAATAGATATTTATTTTGTTCGTAAATCTCGTCCAAATTTCGTAATTTACGACATTTGCGAGCGACAATGAGAGCACAGTAAATGTGAGATGATAAGTACAGACAAAAATAGTACAGATGAAAATGAAATGCCACTGCAGTTTGAAATCTTAACATTCTGCTTGTTGAGTAAAACATCTGGCTTGCATTGTCAATCAACAGTCTTTGGCAGAATTGAGAAGGTGAAACTGTCACCACAACAATAATTTGTTGACTGGTGACACATTTGTTCTATTGCATTGAATATATCCCACCACCATCACTTTCATGTGTTGACAACCTCGAAAGCAACTTTGCATTACCAACTGACTAGTGATACTCTTCATCCTGTTGCTTGGAAACATGTTCTACCAACAAAACCCTTTGTAATGAGAGAATAAGAATGTGTTTTATTATTACCTTCTGTCATCATGCTCACTGTCTTGACCATAGGGACGTACAAACCATTTACCAAGCCGCACAAAGTTTCTACTCAGGAGGCACCTGTGAAGTGTGAAAAGAAGCAAATAATGAAAACAAAATAATACATGAAGGGGAGGAGATATATAAACAAGGGTACACATACACAATTAGATATTTTATGCAGTATCTTCAATTACGTTGAATGAAGAAAATACATTTTATGTCAGATCACAAAAATAGGATGCAATCGTGCATGCATGCATACATCATCAAGCACACTAAACATACATGATGTGAAGTAGAATAAAGTAGACACTGCTATACTCTGAATATAAGACTGCAGTGAAACAAGCTTATCAATCTGCATTTTCACTTTTAAAAATCAAGTCAAGAATAATAAACATGATCCTTTTCTGCTTAGCCCCAAGAGTCATACTGACACTCAGGAAGTGATGGATGATTTGGAGACACAAAATAGGGTACACCACAGAAAATCTGACATTGTGATAATGGTAGACTGATATAGCGTTTCACTAAGACAGTTCACTATAATATTAGGGATCAAAGATCAACATTTATGATGCATAACACACCTGTTTCATTAGCAGTATCTGCGCATGAATCAACATTTATTTCTGTTTTGTAGTTGGCAGAACAATGTGATCTATCAAGCAGCACTGTGCAACACTTGACAATAACTGGAATGTGTTTTGTTTTTTTCATTTTCCATGTATTTACATGTAAAACTATGCAGAAAATGTAATATTGGATTTGCTAACATTAACAATTGCATGTCATGTAGGTCAACCTTATATAAAAGACAAGAACTATGACAGAAAGTTTGATTGGTTTTATTTGAAATTCCAGAGTGGTACACAGAAATCCATTACAATATGTCATTAATACAATCTCTTTATTATTCAATTCAACACTCCAAATGCCAACGACTGACTGCATTCAATATGCCCCATGCAAATACGACAGCATTAAAAAAGCAGTTCAAAGAAATATTAAAAAAACTTTATATCTGAAATGCCACAAGTTATAATAGATAGTTCTTTTTAATAACATTGCCGAATAATCCATGCTTCATCATATCATTTAAGCAACAAGGTCACAACCTAAAATTGTCATGGCAACACAAATCACCTGACATGGGGGCTCCTTGCTTATTGAATCAGTGGAAAGTCAATGTATTATAAACTGAGCAATCTGGCTGCCAGAACACAAATCCTACTACTAGCAATATACTTGTAGTAATCTGGTTGGAAGCATCATTATGCTGTGACTAGCAACATACTTGTAGTAATCTGGTTGGAAGCATCATTATGTTGTAACTAGCAATATACTTGTTTTAATCTGGTTGGAAGCATCATTATGCTGTAACTAGCAATATACTTGTTTTAATCTGGTTGGAAGCATCATTATGCTGTGACTAGCAATATACTTGT